AGAATGTCTCGAGACAGCCGGATTTACGTGGGTAACTTGCCGACGAATATCAGGCCGAAAGATATCGAAGAAATTTTTGCCAAGTATGGGAAGATACTGTTTGTTGATTTAAAGGATCGACGTCCTCCATATTTCGCCTTTGTAGAGTTTGATGATCCAAGGCAAGTCGGCTTGCTTTTTATGCACTGGGTGCCTTTATCTTAACTTGCACATCGGAATGTATGTTCGATATGCTGCTCATTAGTTAGCGTCTTATGCGATCTATTAAGGATTTTAGGGACGCAGAAGATGCAGTTCATGGCAGGGACGGTTATGATTATGATGGATATCGTCTTAGAGTTGAGTTTCCTCGTGGTCCAGGTCCAAGAGGTCCTGGTGGACGTTTGTATGGAGATCGTGGTTACGGAGGACCTCCCCGAGGAGGTAGTTATAGTAGTGGAGGGAGCGGAGGTGGTGGACGTAGAACTAATTATCGTGTTATTATCACTGGCCTTCCTCCTTCTGGTAGGTTTAGTATTTGTATGTGACACCCTTTTCGCGAAATTCAGTGGGTTTTTACTTTCGATTTCTAGGTTCATGGCAGGATTTAAAGGATCACATGCGTGAGGCTGGCGATGTTTGCTACAGCGACGTCACTCGTGATGGTACCGGTGTTGTTGAGTATGCACGTTTGGAGGATATGAAGTATGCCCTCCGTAAATTGGACGGCACAAAATTTAAGTCGCACGAGGTCAGTTACTTTCACTTAGCAACGTTGTAGTTCAGAGTTTTATGCGTACAGGATGTGTCGTATTGACATCTTCAGTTTTAATTTTAGGGAGAGACATCATATATTCGCGTTAAGGAAGATGATAGGGGAAGCCGTGGACGATCTCGCTCAAGGTCTCCTGTCGGTCGTGCAACTAGGGGTTCGCCGCAATACAGCCCACGCAGTGGCAGTCGAAGTCATAGTCGCAGCCGAAGCCGTTCGCATTCTCGATCTCGTTCTCGTTCTTAAGATGTTTTCGGATTTGTTTATGTTGCAGACGCACATCTAATTTCGACCTTAACCTTTACCAACAATTCCATTCGGGACTTTGTAGGATCAAGTACGTGGTAATGTACTACTTCAAGATTATCGATATTGTGCTGCTTTAGACTTTTCTCATTTAGTTATTTGTTTTTTGAGTTTAGTTTCGAGTTTTGGGTATTTTTGCCTTTGTCATCTAGTGAGAAGTTGGACACAGTAGTGTTATGGGACTTTTTTATCCACGCGTCCCTCACCACTGTTGGCAAGCACCGTTCATTCCGGAGTTTATTTCTTTTCGGGCTTATCAGTTCTAGTATCGTGGACTATTTGTTGCTTATTTTAATGTCTCGTTGGTTTATATTATGGTGCCACAGCTGTTTTCTCTTGGTTTACTGATCACTTTTGAATCAATGTTCTTTTACGTTTTGAATAAATATGAAATTGTTATTTTATTGCAGTGCTCTGTCGGGAAGCCTCCCAATTCAAGGAGCTTAAGCTGCATTGGAACTTATGTGGCTATCAAGTTATAAAATGGAGGAAACCAAAAGGTGGAGGAGGATTTAGACGTTGGATAGTGCTTAATATGATCAAGGATGAATTTGTTTTGAAGCAACTTATTATTTGGAGTCAGAAACATAGGATAAGGACAATTTGGGATCGGGTCATCTCTTATTATATATTTCGATTGACTTACAGAGGACATACAGTGTGTGGAATGCAATACAACCTGAGAGCTTTGGGACATATATACAAATCTTGGACTCAAAATTTTGACACTTGGATTGGGACGCGATTTTTGACTAAAAGAAGGGCGCAAGCTCTTTTTTTTTTTTTTTTTTTTAATTTTTTTTCAGGCATACCAGTTTGCACACAAAATAGAAAAGTATCGCGGCATTGCAGTTGCAAGTAGGTTTCGACAAGGAGATCAGTTCTGGGTGAGGGAGATTTAAACATTCATTTTTATCTTATATCAGTAATAAAGGTTTCCGATGATTTTTTACGTTGCAGCAACATCTGATGTGAATACATGTAGAGGGACTGCGTTATAGAATGCTACTGTATCGGTTCTGTCATACCGTTTCTTTAAAAGTTTTCAAGCCTTGCATCTCATTCGCTCGTGCTGTCTTTAGGCTTTTAAGAGTACTTTGTTTAGATTTCTCAAAGAGTTAATCCGAGGAGTGCTTAGGAACTGGGAGTCACAGCTCAGCCAGTTCACAGCACTTTTTGGTTATTGTTTTAACACGTTGAGAAAGCTGGGAGCGGAATGCAGTCGTTGTTTACTGATTCCCGTGAGGGTTATTCGTTACGTTGTTTAAAGTTCTGAACAAGTTTGCCAGTGAACGGCAGGGTTAGGTAGACATTCGAACAAAAATTATTTGTGAACAGTAGGGATACTTTGGGACGTGGTTTAAAAGACACTGTGTTGCATTCCAGAAACGGCGTCATAGGGTTATCGTTTTGGGGTTGCCGCTGGACTTTGCAGCGAACGAGTTTGGTAAGGGGCATTTCCCAAGTATATAATCTGTTCTATTCGTGCAGGTCAAGTTTAGTTTTTTTTTTTTGTTTTGTTGTATGCTGGTAGGGAGTAAAGGATTGTGTATTTATTCTACCAAGCGGGATGAGGCCGGTGGAGTTGAGGAAAAATTTCTTTGCTGGTGGTCCGAAGTTTTTTCGCATTGTTGGAGTTTGAGGGAGGCAGTTACTCTTTGTGGGTCGTGGTTTGGCCATAATGGAGCGGTTACGCTGTAGGGATGGATGCTTTTGCCATTTTCACTTGAGCGCTATTTTCAGTGGTGTTAGGAGGGTACATATATATACAAATATTTATTTGTGTAATGTATATTACATAATATACAATGTATAATATATGATATATACAATGTGTAATATATAATATACAGTGTATAGTATGTAATATAATATACAATGTGTAATATGTAATATATGATGCGTGATATATGACATACAAAATTCATACGTATAGACATGTGTACGCTGTCTATCTGTAGATGCATCTGTGTTTACGTGCATGTTTACTTACACGTCTTGCCAGAGCTGGTTTTCTGAGATTTCCGATTCGTTTAAGGTTTATCTCCCGCAGACTTAAAGAAGTAATTGAGTAAATACATTATCAAATCAGATATGAAATTGGGGAAGAAGTGAATTTAATATGTCTGAAAGCTTACATTTCTGGTTCTGACAGTGATGTTTTTTGGAAGTGTGGTTTTGTCTAACATCAAAGTTATGAGGTGGTGTTTTCGTAGTTTGTGAGCCGGGATGGGGCCAAAAAGAGTTCGGTCTAGCGGTGACATCGTCCGGCTTCAACTGAGCTATTGTTTTGTTGCGTAATGTTCCATCTGAACTAGCTCACTAATTTATATCTGGCCACAAAAATTCGTGCCTGCTAATTTCAAAGAAAACTTGTAGTGGTGTTTTTTGTATGTATTATTCTGCGCCTGTGCTAAAGCTAATTTAATCTGTATGTTTCGCGTCCATTTCTGGTTGGTGGGAGCGGGTAGTGTTTTAGTATGATTCTCGTAACAGCATGTGGTGTAGAACGATAGTAGGGGAGGGACATGCGGTGAAATTAGGAGTTCTAGGAACCTTTTGTGGTGTGACGGAATTTAGCACTTTTGGATAACCAGATTTCGCTGGAATGCATTTTTTGAAGATACTGTCAATGACTGCAGAATAATGTCAAGTCTTATAGGCTGACAGAACTAGAAAAATACTGTAAGGCCTACCACACATGTATTTATGTTAGCGAGACGGTTTGCGCATCAGGAGGGATGGAGGCAGTACTCGATGACTGCTGTAGTGCGGGACCTTTTAAACAATCAGGTTGCGTAGATATAAACAAGGATTACCGAGCACAATATTGACATAACAATTATAAGGCTGATTATAATATAGTCCAAGGTTTCTAATGTCGACGCGAATTCCGTTAGGCTGTTCTGCGCGGTTGTCGCTTCTGGTGGGAATTTGTAGGTCCTTGAAGCGTGAGGTAGAGGCGGTGGTGAATCTCCGTAACATATCGGGGTAAATGCTGGTGCTCTGAAAGTTCATTGTTATTGGTCTGTATGAGGAGAAACAACGTGCAGGCTTCAGATTATTGCTGGTTTTTTAAGTTGCCTGTGGGAGTGCGTTTGTCAAGTTGGTGCTTGTAGCGACGTTGGAATATTAGGTAACCGAGTGTTTTTGGGATACAGAGGCAGGGTATCTGTTGCTTTCTGTGAAGATGGGATTGGGAAAGGAGTTTTTGAAGTTTGGGTCCTGTTCTAAAATTATGTACACTCCAGGAAGTACGCTGGAGGGTTTCAAAATAATGTTGCTTCCGTGGCGTTCCACTATAATTTTTGTTTGCTGTTGTGAAGGACAGTTGTTTTTGTTGTGAAGTGTTTTTTATTTTTTATTGTCAAGTAGCGGGGTGTACATTGAACAGCAGGAACAATCTGGTTTTGGTTTCTACTGCGGAACATACTCCTGAGTGCAATAACTGTTGCTGGGACTTAGTCTTCAGAGGCGTTTTTAATTTCTACAAGTTTTGAATTTAGACCTTAGAAGCGCCTGCAGTCGCACGTTTAGAGAATTTGAAGGTGCCGTTGTTATGGATGAGTAAACTTCTAAGCTTTTTTAAGGTGAATCTAGTCGTCATTTTTGTATGCTGGAACCAAATTGTCTTTCAAGGGGTGTTTTTGTTTTGCATTTTTGGGTAGGTTGTTGGAAACTGCAGGCAGCTTCTCGTTATTGTTTCTTCATCAAAAATAACGTTGTTTCTCGGGCTGTTGTTGGGGACCGAGTGGTATTTGTTCCTCTTGTTAAAAATGCTTTGAAGAAGTTTCTTAAACGAAAATGTAGCAGGTGATGTTTGTCTCAGTAAATTCTCTATCTGAAGCGGCAATTAAGACTTACGTATAAGCGGAAGTTGCCGTAGGCATGCATCCGTCATCTTTGTAGATCCCATACATTTCAGTACTTGGTGCATTGAAAGGAAGTTGAGTAATTTTGGGGTCTGGTGTTTCGTGACCTGTATTTTTGAGGACCGAAGTGCAACATCCGTCTTGTTCAGTTTCTGTTTTCATCGTTTAGACGCTTCGAATAAAGCTGGAAAATTTGAGTTTTTATTGTAGTGATGACTGTTTAAGATTGAAATGTTTCATGTAACTTCGCACTTTCCAAACTCCTTGAATTTAGAGTGCTCCGACTTGGAAGAAGTAGATGATATTACTTACACAGGCAACTGCTGGAGGACAACTTTTTTTGTTCAAAAGTTATGGCCCATTCCACGTTGACTCGCACGCTCAAGGGAATTATGTGTACTTTATAGCTTAAAATTGCTGAAGAGAAGAACCTAGGCTAGTACACAGGAAGCTAAAGAGAAAACAAGAAGAAGCCACATTATCCTACACTCGCAAAATTCACTAGGTCATTGCGTGATACGCGTGTCTCCAGAAACTTAATTCAGCTTGCCTTTTACAAAATTTGGTAATTTCCGGTTTTTTTTTGATTTCTTATATCTTCCATTTCAAATTACTAAATTCTGCTGGGCAATCGTTTAGATGGAACAAAGAAAGATTTAAAATAATGCTATTAGCAACTTCTGATGTACTACGGAGCAGAAAACTTCTAGAAAACGTTTTTTTAACGATTTTAAAATTATGTTTACCTCATACATATTTGAAACTTTATATTTAACAGCTTATCAACAATTTACTATAATTGAATTGCCTAGTTAATATTTGAAACTAGAGGTCGTTACAAATTTGAAAACTGAAAGTTGTTAAATCTTGTCAAGGTTTAGCTAAACTAAAGATCTCTGAATACAGTCATATCAAGCAGCGGCCTGGTAGATTTTGCAATTTTCAGAAAATACAACTTTGTAAGAGCTCTACTCGGCTTTCTGTGTACCCATCTAAAATCTACTGATCAGCAAAAATCAAGAAAATTTTAAGGCATTAAGTGAAAAAAGTTCATGACTTGTCGTGGAATAGCCAGAAGCTAAACCTGTTTGGTGTCTTAGGTG